GGGGGGGGGGGGGAAGAACTGTGGTTTGGTGGCTGTGTATCCAAACGGATTGGCTGGTGACTTGCAGCCTGGTGGGGCAGTAGCTGCTCTGGGGCATGATGCCCCATTCCTGCTGCCCGTGTGCCAGTGGATTTGTGCCCCACTGCTGGATGACATGGGAATTTCTCACCCGTGGGAGCAGAACTGGCCCAAAAAGCCATGGTGGGGTTTTCTAGGTAAAGAAAAGACGACGTTTAGGCTCATTTCCAGCTTGCCTGGGCTGCTTTTCAAAAGGATTAGATGTCTGTTGTCTATGGCACAGTGCTGGGGTTTGAGGGAAACGCTGGGGTTTGGGGCATTATAGGGCTGTTGCGCTTCCCTCCTCCCCAAAACCCATTGCAGGGAGTGAAGGGGGATGTGAGTAGTCAACCTGCACCCAGCTCACTGCCCCCCCATCTCCAACCAGTCAACAGTGCCACAAAAACACGTTAAAAGAATTTGGAAAGCAGTGCGGGAAAGCCGTGGGAATTAGCAGAGTTCAGTGATATGTTTTTTTTCCTTTTTCTACTGAAAAAGAGTGTGTTGCAGTCCAGGATGAAGGGACGTTGACGGAGAAGTGTCCCCATCACCAGGCGGCAATGTTTATCCCATGGCCTGAGGTTGCAAGACCTGTTTGTGCGCGCATGGTGTTCAATTAAAAAAATAAGTAAAAAAGAGGGGGGGGGAAATGTTCACTGGCCCCTTGTGAGTTCTTTGGGTATATGGGGACATGTTCCTGCCTGTGTCACCTGCTGGCAGGAGCCATGGCTGGCACAGAGCTGTGTTGTGCTGCCGTGCCAGTTGCTTGGGAAAAGGAGGAGGAGGAAAAAAAAAAAAAGAAAAGAAAACAAAGCGAGAAACGCACCCAGCAGAGCAGCAGCTCCGGCACGGCTGGGGTTTCCAAGGCTACTGGGAGGCTGTGGCCATGCTGCCGACCATGGCAGAGCCGCTTTTGGGTTGATTTGGTCCAATTTCTGCTGCACCAGTTGGTCAAGACGTTCTGGGCTCAGTTGCCTGTGTTGGATGGGGGTTTGCTACGTGAGTAGTTTATTTTTTTTAATGTGAGCCTTGCAGGTGAAGGGGGCCAGAGGATGCGAGCCTTTCTGAAGAGTTCGGAGGGGTGTTTTCAGCTGAACCCGCACACCACCACGATCGGCAGGCACGGAGGGGCTGACATCATCCTGCAGGTAGGGGCGAGGAAGCCCACCCTCGTGAAATGGGTGGTAGTTTGGGTGCAGGGAGGAGATGCAGTCATCCCTGCAAAATATAAGGCTTCTCAACACGCTTTCAACCCAGATTTGCAGCAAGGAAGAGGGGGTTTTGGCAAATCATTAGCAAAATCTGAGCTGCTTTCTGGCAGGTGTCCCTGCTCGCCTGTTGATTGTCTGTGCCTAGTCTGCAGGTGTAGTAGATCATCACGCAGCCCTTGAAATCACCCCCTGGGACAACAGCTTCGTCCTTCAGGACTTCAGCTCCCTCCAGGGCACCTTTGTCAACGGCTGCCAGGTCCAAAACGCAGCCGTGAAAGTGAGTCCGGGGGATATCCTGCGCTTTGGCACAGGGGGAGCATCCTTCCAGCTGGTGGTGGATGGGGCTGCCCAGGTAAGGATGGGTGCTGCTGCCCAGGGAAAGGTGGATGGGGCTCCCCGGGGAAAGATGGGGTGCCGCTGCCCAGAGAAGGGTGGATGGGGCTCTCCAGAGAAAGGTGGATGGGACTCCCCAAGGAACAGTGGGTGCTGCTATCCAGGTGAGGATTGGGGTGCTGCTGGCCAGCGAAAGGTACTCAGGGAAAGGTGGGGTCCTGCTCCCCAGGAAAGGGTGCTGCTGCCCAGTTAAGGGTGGATGGGGGTCCTCGTTTAAGGGTGGGTGCTGCTGCCCAGGGGAGGGGGTGGATGGGTCTCCCCAGGGAAGAATGGGGTCCTGCTGCCCAGTTAAGGGTGGATGGGCATCCCTGTTTAAGGGTGGGTGCTGTTGCCCAGGGGAGGGGTGGATGAGACTCACCAGGGAAGGATAGGATGCTGCTCCCCAGGGAAGTGTGGATGGGGCTCCCCAGGGAAGAATGGGGTGCTGCTCCCTAGTTAAAGGTGGATGGGGGTCCCCAGTTAAGGGTGGGTGCTACTGTCCGGGGAAGGCCCCGGGAGCAGGATCAGGCTCCCAGGCTGTTCTGGGGAATCCTCAGGAAAGGCCTGGGGGAGGAATTGGGTGGGAATGAAAAGCTTGAGCTCCCTCTGCTGAAGAAACTCGGGCAGTTCAGTAGGGAAAATAGGAAAAGAAAAGGCAGGGGTCAGGATTCCCAACAGCAAGTTGCACGTGAGCGAAGGTAGGTCTGGAAAATGTCCTTTTTCTCTGTTTGCGTTTATGTTTCCTCAAAAGCTACTTACTAAGGGAGAAGGTGGGGCTGGGATCAAACATTGAGCGAACTAAAAGGTACTGTGCTTGGCAGCGGTGTGTGTACCCGGAGAGAGCGTGGTGCTTGGCACAGCACGGCCAAGCTGGCAGTGCCAGGTGTGGGATGCAGGAGAAACCCAAAGCAGTTAGAACCTGGGAAAGAATGTGGTCGAACGTAGTGGCAGTCTCCTGTCTGGGAAAAAAAAAAAAAAGCTGTTTAGGGACTTTTTTGGAGGTCGTGGAGCTTTTGAGGTATTACGTGGGTAAGGATTGAGAAGATTTGGTATTCTTTGTTTTGTTTTGGCTCCTGAGGAATCCTACAAAATAGTTTCTGAGATAGAATCCTGGAAACGTGTGTCTTATGTGCCTGATAGTGGGAGTTGCAGAGCCTGGTCTCCTAGCAGGGCCCGTGTACAAATAAAACTTCGTTGGAATCAGTTGGTTCGTGCACCCAGAGACAGGCTTTAGAGGTCATGGCAAGAATCCTGGTGGAGCAAGCTGACCTGCTGAGTCCAAACTTGCCCAGGAAGCCTCAGCCAAGGGAAAATAAGAAAAATTCACAGCTGCACAGTGAAGCTGGAGCAGCCAGGGTGCCAGTGGCGGTTAGGTAAATGTGTTGTTGCTGGAACTGTCAGCTTTTTAATTTCCAGAAGTACATGTGTAGGATGGAGGCAGAAAGCAGTGTTGCACGGTGACACAGAGGAAGCCCTGTGGGTGTCTATTCATTGCTCTGTGATCCTCCTGTGCTGGAAGAGCTTTGAAGCCCGACCCTGCTGACTGCAGAGAGTAAATCACTTCTGCATTGTGCCCTGTGAAGTGGTGATGGTGTCTAATCTAGGGAGGTCTGGCTCATTTTCAGTAGTAGTGGAGGAACATGCTGTGAAGAGGACCACCACCCAGCTTAGGAGGTCCCATCCCTGCAGAGCCTCAGAGCCCAGGACAAGTGCCCAGAAAGGGGTAGCCTGATGCCGTGGTGGGATCCAACCCTCAGCAAGAGCCCAGGGCAGTGTCTGGACCCAAAGCCATGGCGCTCAGATTTGCTCTGGGAGAAGGTGAGGTGCTGGAGCAGTGGGGAACGTGTGCTGGAGTTCTGGGCTCTCTTTCTCTGAGACACCAGCAGGTCCAAGGCCGCCTTGGCAGATGTTTACTTCATCTCTTGTGATTGAAGGCTACATGTAAGCAAACATACAAGACTGTAATCATGGCTTGACTCTACCATACTGGAAAGTTCGGCTCCTGAGGAGAATAGTAGATAGTGTCCTAATTACCTGAAGGGCCCCTTGTGAGGTCTGACGGATCCATGGGAAGCCAGGAGAGCAAAGAGAGGCTTTGAGGAATTGGGGGAATGAGAGGCCAGCATTGCTTGTGTGTGAGGCAGGGGAGGCGTGAAGCTGGCGCTTTATGATTTGGCAAATGAAATGCAAAATGAAGGTGGTCAAATATATACAGAGAGGGAGGAGCTCAAATAGCAGCAAACACCCATAATTCCTTTCAATTTCTGCAAAGCATTTGCGCTTCCTGAATTAAATGTGATACTTGGGAATGGAAATGGGTGGGTCTAAAATGCTGCTTCCACTCAGACCTGTGCCTGGGTTGTCTACGACATAATTAATGCACATCTGGGGCTAAACACCTTCCCAAAATTGTGCTGATAATGTGATTTTTTCACGGCAGATGTCATATCCCCCTGTAAAGCGTCTCACGGCGTGGACTGGGCAGCTCCAGGTGGTTGCAGAGCCCAAACCCTCGACTCCTGCATCTTCTTCCCACCTCCCCTCACTGCAATGGCACCATCCCCCTGGTTCCTCAGGCCGGTGGGCTCCCGGAGCAACTGGCCACGTGCCCCATCCACCCCCACGGAAGCAACCCCTGCATGCCTGGGCTAAGAATGTGGCCACCACCGTCTCACCGGATGCTTTCAGTAGGAGCTCCACAGTAAGGACAGGTACTCCTCGATGCTAGACCTGGTGGTCCCTAGCCTGGTCTCCTCTCTGAGCACCGTAGGGTTGAGTGGAGTTGATCTAAGCAGGGGTGGTTTTGCTATGAGCTGAGAGGTGACCAGCGCTGGCAGCAACTAGGTGCCAGTCCTTGCCCCGTGGAGCTAATGGGACACCGTGTGTGGTCCTCAGTGGCATTGGGGTCAGTGAAGAAATGGGCTGTGACATCCAAAGGGGAATGCCATTGACCTCGTAGCTGAGTCTGACATTTCCTCTTCCTTTTTCCTTGCGTGTGATGGGGAAGGGCGATGACTAACTTTATCTGCACCGGTGACTCATGCACCTATTCCCGTCTCCTGTTTGAAGCGATGTTGTTTCCCCCTTTGAAGTGCAGTTACTGGCTGCCTTGAGGAACTTTAAACTAGGTCCATAGCTGATATGCTTCTAAAAATACAGTAGCGGTGCAGCAGAGGCAAGTCTTTCAGGGAGTAGTACAGCTGGAGAATGAGGCTGTCGCCACGATTGTAACTTTTTATGGTCTGATACACAGTCCGGTTGTTTTCCTGGTTTGGGGTTGGGTTGTTTGAACAGTCATAATTAATACAAAGTCAATAGTGAAGTGGTGAAGTACAGCACGTTGGCGGCAGCGCATAAAGATGTGTGGAGAGGCAGAAGGTGAAATTGCAGTGAAGGTAAAGGGGAGGGAAGAGCATGCTCCAAGGTAGCTCATATTCATCTGATTTGGGAGAAATAGAGCCCAAAGGATCCACACGATCTGATGGAAATGAACAGAGCTATTTACACACAGGAAGCTAGCAGAGCACAGCTTCTTCTGTGGGGCCAGGCAATACTGCAAACCCAGAGGAGCCTTACTCTGCTGTGTCTGTGCTGTCCTTGAGGCTTTGTTGGGGTGCCAGTTGTTCCTCTCTGGTGTTTGCACTGGTGTCTTTCTGGTGCCAAATAGTTGGTTTCTCTCCTGGTTGTGACCCAACCTCATGGTCTGGAAAGTAGCTGCTGCCTTAGAGTAGATGTGAGCCAAGTGAGAAGGGATGCTGCAAGAAGTGTTACTGCTGCCTGCAGCCAGTCCCCATGCTGACACTGGGCTGTGGTGTTTGCTTTCTTCCAGTCTCGACCCGTGTCTCAGGCGATGGTGTGAGCAGTGCTGGGGGAGCCCCTTCCCTGGGAACTCAAGACATGGATTTACTCCCGCAGGAGAAGGTGATGCTGGGGAAAGTGTGAGGGACTCCATCCCTCTCCTGCTCTGGGGCTGTGTGTCTGACCATGCATCCCAGCAGTGTGCAGGGACTGTCACCAAAGGTGACAGCATTCATGGGGGGGACTACTGGGTGGATGGAGGACATGGGCATAGTGGGACATGGGAAGACAAGGCAAGCAGGTCCATGCCGTCACAGAGTTATAGAATGGTTTGGGTTGGAAGGGACCTTAAAGCCCACCCAGTGCCACCCCCTGCCCTGGGCAGGGACACCTCCCACCAGATCAGCTCGCTCCAAGCCCCATCAAACTTGGCCTTGAACGCTTCCAGGGACGGGGCATCCACAGCTTCCCTGGGCAACCTGGGCCAGGCTCTCACCACCCTCGCACCAAGGAAGTTCTTCCCCAGATCTCAGCTCAGTCTCCCCTCTTTCAGTGTCAAACCCTTCCCCCTCCTCTTATGGCTCCCCTCCCTGACCAAGAGTCTCTCCCCAGCTTTCCTGGAGCCTCTTTAGGGACTGGAAGGGGCTCGAAGGTCTCCCCGAAGCCTTCTCTTCTCTAGGCTGAACCCCCCCAACTCTCTCAGCCTGTCCTCACAGCAGAGGGGCTCCAGCCCCTTGCAGCATCTCTGTGACCTCCTCTGGTCCCACTCCAACAGGTCCATGTCCTTCTGATGTTGGTGGCCCCAGAGCTGGAGGCAGTGCTGCAGGGGGATCTCCCCAGAGCAGAGCAGATGGGCAGAATCCCCCCCTCATCCTGGTGACCATGCTGCTGGGGATGCAGCCCAGGGTGCGGGGGGCTTTCTAGGCTGCCAGCACATTTTGCCGGGGCATATTGAGCTTCTCATCCACCAGCGTCCCCAAGTCCTTCTCCTCAGGGCTGCTCTCCATCCATTTTACACCCAGCCCATGTGGTTAGGATTGCCCTGGATTGTCCATGTGCAGGACCTGGCACTTGGCCTTGGTGAACATCATGAGGTTGGCATGGGCCCACCTCTCCAGCCTGCCCAGGTCCCTCTGGGTGGCATCCCTTCCCTCAAGCATGTGGACTGCCCCACACTGCTCAGTGTCAGTCCGTGTCCGTGGGTTGGTTCCCCTTGGAGCAGGCGGCCCAGCATCTCCATAGCTGGAGTGACAAATGGCTCCTGTAACATGCCTGCAGGGTGAGAAGCTTCTGCAACTGGAGAAGGAAATCGGTCACCTCTCTGGTAGGGAGACAGAATCCAAGCAGAAAGATGCAATGATAAGAGATCTGCAGGATGAGATTGCAGTGATGGCAAAGACCTTGGCTCAGGCGGCAGCAAGGAACGAGGTGGAGCTGACCCAGAAGCTGCTCACCTTTGACCGAGAGCTGGGAGCCAAAACGGAGGAGATCAGAGCCTTGAGGGACCAGGTACTGAATGCTTCAGCGGGGAAAACACTTCTCTGATACAGATGTACTTTGAGTGCAACAGCCAATTTGTAGGAGGAGCAGGTTTGGGAACTACGGGAACCAAATGAGACGTGATTTTTCCTGTTGTAATTTGCACATATTGTTGCTTGCTGTGCAAGTTTCCCTTATGTGGGACATTCAGGTCCCAGCTAATGTGGTAGGATCTGTAATGCTGCACCGGGGAGGGAGACGGAAGCTTCACCAGCATTTTATGGGGGAAAGGCACATGCAACTGCCATGGACTGGGAAGCTGGAACCCTGACTTGCCCCACTTGCCACAGGAGCAGGCTGTGTGGTTGTGTTTGCTGGCACCATCCTGAGGGCAGCAGAGTCCCTGGGTGTCCTGGTGAAAATAGGTGGCTGGGTAGTGGAGAGAGGGCTGATAGTTGTCACGTCCAGGGATACGTGACTAGCATGCACTCACGTTTTATGAAACCTCAAAAAAAGTCCTGGAGAGATGGTTGATGGAGTCCCCTGGAGTATCTCCAGCCTGGGAAAAAGGTCAATCTGAGGTGCCAGTCCAACGCGAGACACGCAGGTCGGCAGCCGAGCATCTGGTCCCATCCTGCCCTCCCGTCCAATCCCAGGTGTGAAGGAGGCGGTGAAATGCTTTGTACTCATCCAGGCTGTCTGTTGTAAAGAGGAGCTTTTGATGAGCAGGTTCCTGCTGGGGAAAAGGCGATATAATTTCAGGGCGCTGCCGGCATCGGTGCAGTTACTGCGCTGAGAGGAAACGGTGTGCGATGCCTCTTTTCCCAGCAGCTTTCCCTCCTCTGACAAAAGCCTCTTCCACCTGTGGCTTGGTTCTTCTATACTCTCCAGTAACTGCTGTGTGAAACCAGTCATTTGAGCAGTGGGGAGCATAGTTGTGCTGTCTGTGCAGCACTGATATGCCGAGGTGGATGGTACAGACTGTTTCCCACTCCCCAGTTCCAGTAGGGACTGTGAGAACCGTCTTTGCAGCAGAAATGGGAACAGGAGTTCCCAAGCAGCTGCATTTGTGAGTAATAACTCTGTGTGCTGTGAGAAGGCGATAAATCAGCCACTGTTTCTGTCTGTCACTGCATTAGCAGTGTCACCCAGCCCCAGCCAAAGGATTCCCAGTATAGGAGGCTTCTCCGTGCCTGTTATATTAGGATTTGGGTGTCAGTGGCCAAAATAATATTAAGGTCATGCCATGTAAAGCAATGTGCCGAGACTTAGTCAAGGATGCTAAAGAGCAGCCCCATCAGAGCCTGGTGGCATTGGATTTCCCTCTCCAAAGGGGGTTGTAATGAACTTAATAAGTGATCTGGGGAGGCATGTGGGCAAATCTGTGTTTTGCAGATCAGCAGCCTGCAGAAAGGCTCGAGTCAGGTTTTCTGCCATTCCCTCTATGAGAGAGACCTGGAGATTGGGAGGCTGCGGGAAGAAAGCAAGAAGGTGAAGAAGGAGCACGCTTTGGCTGCAGGTGCTGTATCCCTGGAGCTCCGCGTTGGGTCACGAAGCACTTTAGGGCTGGCTCGTGATAATGAGTGAGCATCGGGAAACCTGTCTGGGCAACAAATGATGTGTAGTGGCTCAGAAATTTTCGTACCCCTATGTAGGACACAGAAGTGTCCTGAAGCTCTGTGGGAGTTGCAGGTAGGGTCTGACCTGGTGGGTGTGGGACAATCTGGGGATGGAAGGCAGGAAGTGATGGGATGGAGAACTTTGGAAGGATAAAATGGCTCAAGCACCACTTGCAGGGCAGGCTGCAAGCTGCTTGACGGCAGTGCTGTATCAAGGGCTGCCGTGCACCCCCGGGGGAACCTGCCCACCTGAGCTGCTGCTGCAAAGGCCACCTTGGACCACCAGCCTTGTCCAATGGCCTTTATCCCAGCAGTTATCAGGCCTGAGGAATTTCATGTGTACACAAAATATTCGCTTTTGTAATGCATTCAGAGTAGGCAAACTGTTCTGCCTGATTGCATTTCCCGAGATAAGGGAGCGGTATCAGTGCTTGGCAAGGGAGGAGGCATCAGGGCAGGGGATCCGACATAGTAAGGCTGCAAAAACAGATCTGTAAGAGCCGCTTGTCCCCTAAGGCCCCAGGGACCTTGTTAGTGGTGCTGTCAGGGTGTGGTGTCCAGCACGGCATGGCAAAAGCTTTCCAAGCATGAGGGTGGTCTAAAAGGGAGGATGGCCGCTGAGCGGCTGGAGGGCTTTGGCTGGGATGAGCCTGGGGAGCCTCTCACCGGAGTTGTTTTTCTCAGGTCTGGTGGCCAGCCTGCGGAGGGAGATTGTGGGCAAGGAGCAAAAAATGCAGCAACTCAAACAAGAGGTGGAAAAAGTGAAGAAGGAAAACCAGGAAAAGGACAACCAGCTAGCAGTTGTGTCTGCCAAGGTTATCGCTAATGAGGGGCTCAATTATTTAAAGGATTAATGTGGGAAACTAGAACAAGGAGGGCCATGCTATGGAGCAACTATTGGGGTGGCTGTTGGAACCCGAGGGTCCTGGCTTGCATGCGTGTTGGAGGTGCAGAATTGTTCCAGGGGGAGGTAGCAGCGATGGGGCTGTGGTGGTGTCAGGGTTGGGGGCTATCGCCATGGAGCATTGTCACCTTCCCCAGCTGAATTCCCCTCCTTGCTCTGCATTCAGGTGCTGCGCACCCTGAATTCCTGGGAGCACAGTAGCTGTTTGTACTGACAAAGTGACTGTGCCAAGAATCCTCCCCAGGAGCCATGGAAACCTCGACTTAGAATCATAGTGTTTGAGTTGGAAGGGACCTCTTAAAGGTCATCTAGTCCAACCCCCTTGCCATGGGCAGGGACATCTTCAACCAGAGCAGGTTGCTCAGAGCTCCATCCAACCTGGCCTTGAATGTTGCCAGGGATGGGGCATCTTCAACCTGTTCCGGCATTTTACCACTGTCATTTTACAGAATTTCTTCCTTATATCTAGTCTAAATCTCCCCTCTCTTAGTTTAAAGCCGTTACCCCTTTTCCTGTCACAGCAGGCCCTGCTAAAACGTTTGTCCGTATCTTTATTTAAAGCTTTCCTAAGTCTTCATGTGGCTCCCCGTAGCCCATCCGGGTTTTTCCATTAAGGAAAGTGGACTGAGCAGCAGGTTGTATCTGTGTTTGCAGCTCCCTCCTCATCGTGCAGAGCTGCAGCATCTGCAGAACTAGGCCAGAGCAGGCACTGGGCTCTGGCTGGCTGTCTGGGCACTCTCCCAGGGGGTTTCAGTGATTTGCTGTGAATTCTAAGTAATGGAGAAGATGCGGGGGGCCCTGGGGTACCTGGCTGAGCATCTCCCCCTAGCAGCTCCCTGGAGAAGAGGAGTGATGGGGATCAGCCCTTGAACCAGTGGAGAGGGGAGATGTCGGAGTGCTGGAGCTTGGACCAGGCGCCCTGGGGACGCAATCCTGCTGGGTGCCTGGTGGCACTTGGTGGCCCACAGTGCTAATGTCGCTGAGGGCACATCCCAGAGCATCCCTCTGCGGTTTCCCCCACTCTATGGATACGGGGAGATGTGGAGGGAGGCACGGGGAAGAGGGACCTGGGTGGTCAGGGCAGGCAGAATGGGGTTGGGCTCTGAAACCCCGGACCCCCAAATTGTTGACATTTGTTGCAGAAATGACAGTATCTGCCTGACTCGATTTTTTTTTTTTTTTTTCCTTGTTTGCCACTCATTCTAGTGCTCTAGAATTAAAGAGGAAATGAAGCGCGGATGTGGAGAGCGAGAAGTTCTTGCATGCCGAAATGTGAGTCTCAAGTCATTTGGGGTGATGGAGCACACGGGAGAGCAGCGACTGCAGGAATGCAGCATCGAGGGAATAATTAACTGGGCATTTTAAGGGAGTTGGTTTGAATCTGGCTCCTGAAATAGAAAGCACATAAATTGCATTGCAAACTAGAGAAATGCAGACTGTGGAAATTCTGATGCTACATTGCAGAGCAGGAGAATGCTGTCAATAAGATTGAAAGGTCACTTGAAAGCCAATGTAACCACAGTAAATACGGATTAGAAGGAAATTCCTGGGGGTAATGAAACAGGGTAGGTGGGGAAAAGGTATGGCTTATGGGTGAAAGTCCTCCAGAGAGGCGATGCCCAGCTCCTCCAGTGAGACCCTGGGACTCTTGCAGCGCATCGGGGAGCTGGAACGTGACTTGGAGGGGCTGCGGGGGGAGGTCCAGAAGTATTGCGCCGAGCAGGAGAGGAGCCGAGACCAGCTGGCCCAGAAAGCCAAGGTAAGCGGCCAGTAGAGGGCAGCAGGGACAGGCACGGCAGGGTCCTGGGCCACCTGGCATGGGGTGGCAGAGGCGTGTGATGAGGACCAGTGAGCCCCAGGGTGTATGGGCGAAGGGGACAAGATGTTGCCCCAGCGAAGAAAAGACTTGCCCTGTGGAGCAGTGTGGTGGGAAGTCAAGGATGGATGATGGTCCAGAGTCCCAACGCAGGCAAAGAACGGTATAAAGTGTCCTATGTCGCAAACTCACCCCCTGAAAAAAGATTTCCTCCTGCCATTCCCAAGCCATAATTGGAGCGGTTTGATGTGAATAGTGGGTCGTTGGGGTAAAAAGTGCTGATGGCATGCTTTTTTGGGTCGTGCTTTGATATGCAAATGCTCTTGTCCTTGCAGGCTGAGGAGGAGCTGCAGGAAGCCTGTGCCAGGCAAGCACTGCAGCTGCAGGAGGTGGGGCGCAGGGAGCGCCTGCTGCGAGCTGATGTGGGGCAGGCCAGGGAGCAGGTAGGGATGGAGGCAGGGGTGGGTGGGAGCATCCTGGAATGGGTAGAATGGGAAGGGAACACATAGATCATCTAGTTTTATGCTGCAGTCTGGGCTGGGGAAGGACATAATGCTTGAGTGCAGGATACCCTGTGCAGTTCTGGGCCCCCCAGTTCAAGAAGGACAGGGAAGTACTGGAAAGAGCCCAATGGAGGTTACAAAGATGATCAAGGGACTGTAGCGTCTCTGTTATGAGGAAAGCCTGAGGGACCTGGGGCTGTTCAGCCTGGAGAAGAGCAGACTGAGAGGGGATCTCATCGATGCTGAGCAATATCTAAAGGGTGGGTGTCAAGAGGATGGGATCAGGTTCTCCTCAGTGGTGCCCGGTGACAGGACAAGGGGCAAAGGGCACAAATTGGGACACAGGAAGTTCCATCTCAACGTGAGGAAAATCTTCTTTCCTTCGAGGGTGGCAGAGCCCTGGAAGAGGCTGCCTAGAGAGGAGGTGGGCTCTCCTCTGGAGACATTTAAAACCCACCTGGATGCATTCCTGTCCAACCTGCTCTGGGTGACCCTGCTCTGGCAGGGGGTTGAACGAGATGTTCTCCAGAGGTCCCTTCCAACCCCCACCAGTCTGTGATTCCATGATAGAGAGTGCAGAGTCCAGAGCACCAAACCCTGGCACAGGGGTGAACCTGACATCAGATGCACTATAATAGGCTTTTCCACAGGATTTGTGCCGGCATGGTAGAAGATGCAGCGAGTTTAGTAGGGTACAGAAATGCACTGTACTCTCTATAGTTGTAGTTGTGCTGTCCAGGTCCCATGCAAACCCTTCTCCATGCCTAGGGAATGCTCCAGGCACAGACAGCTCTTTGTGGAATAACGTGGTGCATGATCACCAGGATAAAGCCGTGCTTGGCCCGAGAATGAAGTCGTCCCCCCGCCTCGTCCACGCCCCCCCCTCCTTTAAACTGCAACACAGATTTGTGCTAGTGTGAATTTGTTATGAAGCCCAGGCAGTGAGAGGCAGAAAACCTGTGAGTTGTTTGATTACGTTTGGCAGAAAAACCTGTTATTTGTGCAGAGTGGTGTCGAAGGGCAACCTCAAGCTGTTAAGGGCAGATGGGGACTTTTGGGTCTGCCACGTAGGTCAGCACAGGGACAGCCGCGTGTGGAAGCCCCAGAAGAGCCAGCATCAGGTGGGATAGAGAAGTAACTAGAGAAGTAAGGCACTAACCTCATTAGGAGTGGTCATCCTCTTCTTCTGCAGAGGCTGGGGTGGCATCCCCAGCTGTCTCCAGCCTGCCCCAAACTGTTTCACAGGAGGAAAGAGGAGTCAACCATGGGAAATCCCTTTTGGAGTGTGGGATGGAGCCAGGCAGTCTGTCCTTTGCAATGGGTGTCAGCCCTCTGCCATTGTAATCATGGCATCATAGCATGGTTTAACTTGGAAGGGTGCTTAAAGATCATCCCATTCCACTCCCTACCCTGGGCAGGAACAACTCCCACCAGACCAGGTCCCTCAAAGCCCCATCCAACCTAGCCTTGGACCCCTCCAGGGATGGGGCAGCCACAGCTCGTTGCATCACAACACTCCTGGTGCTAAAAGTACCCCCTGCCAACCACGGTGACCTCGCAGCTCCTCCTGCCCCTCGCCGAGGCCATGGCACGTCCTGCACCCCTGTGCGATGCTCAACACAGACGGGAGCGCGATGCTCCCCCTTCCCACGCTGCTGTCACAGCAATTACTCCTCTGCAGCGACTCTCCACGACACACAATAGACCTATGCTTTCCTCTCCACACAGCCTTCACCTCACGTTGTTTTTGGAAAACTCCTCACAGCAACTGCTCGGCTGCTCCACAACAGGAGTTGCACAGGACTCATAGATTCATAGATTGGTTTGGGTTGGAAGGGACCTTAAAGCCCATCCAGTGCTAGCCCTGGACACCTCCCACCAGACCAGGTTGCTCCAAGCCCCCTCCAGCCTAGCCTTGAACCCCTCCAGGGATGGGGCAGCCACAGCTTCTCTGGGAACCTGGGCCGGGCTCTCACCACCCTCACACCAGAGAACCTCTTCCCCAGATCTCAGCTCAGTCTCCCCTCTTTCAGTGTCAAACCCTTCCCCCTCCTCTTATGGCTCCCCTCCCTGACCAAGAGTCCCTCCCCAGCTTTCCTGGAGCCCCTTTAGGGACTGGAAGGAGCACGCACAGGGCCCCAGTGACGGAGATGGCAGTCATCAGAACGCCCTTAGCACTGATGTGTGAGGGTTGGGTAGAGCAGCAAGCAAAGTCATTATGAATTCTCAGAGGTTGGTGTTTCCCTCTGTCAATCTCTGCTGCAGCTGGAGTCCTTCAAATCCCAAGTGCTGGGAGCCTGTTCTCCAGCAGCAGTAGGAGCTGCAGGGACGGCTGTGACGGAGCAGCAGGTGAGTGTGGCTACCAGCACATGGAGATGCTCTGTGCTTCCAAAGCCCAAATCGGCTCGAGTCAGATACAGCAGTGCCTGCTGCATCCACAGGAATGCTGGTTGCAGCCAAGCTTCTTTAGATCCTAAATCATGCTGCAGCTCTCCCAGGTTAATGGCACGGCTCCGGGATGTGAAGGAGACACAATCCTTTTTGTCCCCCAAAGCTTGGATGGAATCAGTGGACTCTTGAAGCCCAGGAGTCTGATGTGGCTTCCAGTTTGATGCGAGTCTCAATCATTGCTGAGACAATCAGTGGACCCTCCACAAGAAAAGGGTGTGAATATAAGGCCTTATTCTCCTGTTCCCTCACGTGCTTTTGCCAGGTGATAGAGAAGGTGAGGCAGATCTCCGAAGAAAGCCAACAAAGTCATGAGAGAGAGAAGTGTCTGCAGGAGGAATTAAGTTCCCGGCTCTCAAAGGAGAAGGAGGTGTCTGAAGGTGTCGAGGTGCTCAAGAAATCACTGCAGGAGCTTCAGGTCAGTCCTTTAAATACTGATGATCAACTAGCAGGCTGGAGATAGGTTGCGCTGGGCATTTTTTTGGCCTGGAGGATAGGTCAAAAGACACACTTGTGGATCCGCACTAGCCAGTGTGCAGCTCTCCAGATGTGCCAGAGGTGAGTGTAGCCCCAAAAAGCATTGGTTGGAAAGAAAGGAGATGTCACAGAAGTGCGTCCTCCCCTGGACCAGCCAGGAGCCGTTTCCACCAAAGATATCAACCCGTGAAGCGTTCACATGGTGGTTGTACCCAGGTCTTTCTCAGAGATGTTGTGTTGTGTGCCAAGTCCCAGGAGCCCTCTGAGCGTGGAGGGTAGCCTGTTCACCAGCTGTGTTTTGTCCAGGCATGCCTGAGGAGCTCCTGCAGCAGCGACAGCCTGCGAGGAGAGCTGGGGAGGCTGGAGGAGGTGTGCCTGGTCTCCCCCATCTCGGCCATCGGGGCAATGGTGGTGGAAATGGCACGTGTCCCCCTGTCCTGGCTGGAGGCTGTGGAGCAGCTCCTGGCCAGCGTGGGGATAGACCTGCACGCCTCCAGCAAAGGTCCGTGTCCTGCTGGGTGTCTGGGGGTGTCACTGCTCCAGGTGGGATTTCCTGGCTAGCTAGAGGAGAAAGCCCAGCGTGAGCCACCTCTTAGGGATGGCAGGCCTCCATGTTGGGGCAAATCTCAGGCAGTTTGGGCAACTAAGAAACTTTTTGGGGGAAAGCATGAGGAGGGGAGGGGGTAAGAGGAGGGAGCATCACTTGTATGTCCAAGTAACAGCCTTCCCTGGACTAAATGCAGCTGGTGAGGTATGAGAGGTCCTTATTTGTGGGGGCTTGTGTCTGGGAGTGAATCAAGGCGTGATGACGGTAGATGTTCTGATGGGATGCAGGCAACCCCGTTTCATAGCTTGGATCCCTCCCTGCATCCCAGGTGCGGGAAGGCCTGATGACAGTCAAGGAGCTGGTGTCTTGGATGGTTTGGATGGTTGTCTTTATCCTGTGATGCTTGTGGAGCGAGGCTTTTCCCCAGGGTCAGTGTGCTTGGGCAGTGTGACTGCACTTATTCCCTGCCTCTGCAATGCCAGGGCCACATGTAGTACTCTGGGTGGTTTTTATGTGGGATGCGATGTGCTGGACCCAATGTACTGATATCATTGATTCAGTCAAAGTGGGTTGTATCCTTGGTGACATACAGGAATTTTTTTCTTGTCCTGGATTGTGGCTGTGGCACTGGCTGAGATCTGATTCCCCTTGTCCTGATGTTGCAAAGTATTTTGTCTTTCCTTTCCTCTTCTCAGCACAGAAAGGACGTGGACCTATTGGAATGGGTCCAGCAGAGGGCCATGAAGATGACCAGAGGGCTGGAGCCCCTCTGCTGTGAGGACAGGCTGAGAGAGTTGAGGGGGTTCAGCCTGGAGAAGAGAAGGCTCCAGGGAGACCTTCGAGCCCCTTCCAGTCCCTAAAGGGGCTCCAGGAAAGCTGGGGAGGGACTCTTGGTCAGGGAGGGGAGCCATAAGAGGAGGGGGAAGGGTTTGACACTGAAAGAGGGGAGACTGAGCTGAGATCTGGGGAAGAGGTTCTCTGGTGTGAGGGTGGTGAGAGCCTGGCCCAGGTTCCCAGAGAAGCTGTGGCTGCCCCGTCCCTGGAGGGGTTCAAGGCTAGGCTGGAGGGGGCTTGGAGCAACCTGGTCTGGTGGGAGGTGTCCAGGGCTAGCACTGGATGGGCTTTAAGGTCCCTTCCAACCCAAACCAATCTATGAATCTATGAGTCCTGTGCAACTCCTGTTGTGGAGCAGCCGAGCAGTTGCTGTGAGGAGTTTTCCAAAAACAATGTTAGGTGAAGGCTGTGTGGAGAGGAAAGCATAGGTCTATTGTGTGTCGTGGAGAGTCGCTGCAGAGGAGTAATTGCTGTGACAGCAGCGTGGGAAGGGGGAGCATCGCGCTCCCGTCTGTGTTGAGCATCGCACAGGGGTGCAGGACGTGCCATGGCCTCGGCGAGGGGCAGGAGGAGCTGCGAGGTCACCGTGGTTGGCAGGGGGTACTTTTAGCACCAGGAGTGTCGTGATGCAACGAGCTGTCCTTGGCGTCTGCAGAAGTGTCAGGCTCAGAGAAGATGGGGTGACGCAGCAAAACGGGTGGCAGCGTGTGACAAGAAAAAGACGTCTCCTGGTGGGAGCAGGCAGCTGGGCTGTGTGCGCAGGCAGAGCAATGTCTCGGCGGTGGCAATGAGCTCCCAGGGCTGGGACTGTGCCATGGTTGTGGTAGACACAGAGAGGAAACACTCAGTTGTTCTCTAGAAGCTATTCCAAGGGGATCTTGGGGCTGGAATCCCATAGCCAGGAGGCTAGTGAGGGTCTTCAGGCTAGATAGAGTCTGTGGGTGCAAGGCAGAAGTGCTACCACGGGTCTCCTTCCCTGACACCAGCACCTCCTCTGGCCCAGCCTAGAGGAAAACCCACCCTGAGTGTGTTTTTTGGGTATCCCAGCTAGTGCCAGGGGTGACTGTCTGGGAAGGTAGTGGTGGTCCCTTCTCCTGCCTGTGGAGGAACATGGACCCCCACCAGCAGGCGAGGGGGATTGAAGGTCAGCAGTAGCCAAAGGGAGCTTTGGCAGGAGGCAAGTGGCATCCCCAGGCCCCCGAGGATGCTGCAGGAGGATATATGGGATGTGTGAGCACCCCATAAATCGAGACGCTGGTGGCTTTTGCAGGGCTGGTGGCTGCTCTGGGGAGACTGGTGGAAGACAGTCAGGAAACTGCACAGAGGAATTGGATGTTGCAGGTACAGAAATGTGTGTGTATGGATGTAAACCGAGGTGGTTAGGGACCTTTTTGTGGGTAAAGATGGTGGTAATCCAAAGCGAGTGGGTGTGGGAGCCAATTTGGGAACGTTCAGTAGCAGCAGTCCCTGGGTCTGCAGTAATTGCAGGGGAACAGAGAAGACGAAGCCCCCTGTCGACGTGTTGGTGTCTGTATAAAGTGCCAAGGGTGGAGGGTGTTGAGTTGTTTGGTAGTGAGTGTACTCAGGAGGTTTGTCTTGTGCTGTTGCTGATGCAGTCCCTGCATTTCCTCGTTATCTGCTGTCTCCCCACAGGCCCAATTAGAGAGGGACCGGGAATCTCAGGCTGCTCTGCTGCAGGAGCGCATGAAGGAGCTGGAAGCAAAACACAAGCAAGACCTAGAGATAAAAATCCAGCAAATCATAATGGAAAAGGACAAGGAGAGCCAAGAGGTATGGTGGCATGGTTGTTTTTTAGGGAAAGGATTGTTAATAGTGTTGCCTTGTGAGAGGAAGTCTCTGGTCCCAAAACACCTGGTGCATAGCCCCAGTAGCCTGGGTATCAGGTCTCCTGTATTGATGTGGGCGACTGTAACTCCCCAAAGTACCCACAGTGGAACTAGGAAGCATCTGGGTAGTGGCAGGACGCACTGCTGTCCACCAATCCCAGGGAGAAAGCTGTGAGCCAGGAGCACCGTTGGGATATGGAATCTTAGGAATGCATTGCATTATTGGTGGCCTCGTATCCTGCCCAGCTTTTGTCCCATAACAAGCCCCTGCTCCGGAGCAGTGACCCTACCAGGGGCCTTCTGTATTGGAGCTGAGGCCTTTTGCCAAATGATATTATATACCCTGTACTGGAACTGTGGGCTGTCAATTTTCAGATTCTGGAGAGCACTGTGGCCCAGGAGAAGCACAAGTGCAAGCAATCTGTGGAGGAGGAACAGAAGAAAATTCAAGACCTGGAGACCCACCTGAGGAGCTTGACTGAGGTCAGTGGCATGCACGGGAGGCAAGGCAGAACTGCTTACACCTGGATGAAATAAGTCTGAAAGTGCTCTGTAGTGTGGTGACCCATTCGGTCATGGGCTGTACATGGACAGTGGTGGGTCTTTTTTCCCCACAAACACACAGAGATACATATCTATAGAGAGAAAGGTGGATTTTTGGAAGCTTGGTAAGTCCTTTGTTGCTGCTAATGTTCTTATGTAGGTAATGGAAAGGAAGTCAAAGGAACAGGAGGTTTCAGAGTGCAAACTGAGGGAAGCCGTGCACAACCTGCAGGAAGCTGCAACACGAGAGGTAGCTCCAACAACCCTTCTGTGCATCCTGGGGAAGTGGCATAGACATGGTTTGGGCAGAGAACAGCAGCCTCCCCCCTCCCCCCCTCCCTGAAATCCTTCCCTTCCCTTGGTCCACCTGACTGCCAGCCAGGAGAGATGATGCTGATCAGAATCCCAAAGCAAAACACATGTGATTCTTCCAACCGAGATAATGCGTCTTGTTTCCTAGGTGATGTTACAGCAGCGGGTTCTCACGCAAGAGGAGCAGCTCAAGTCCACTCTGGAGGAGAATGAGTTACAGAGGCAGAAGCTGCAGGAAGAAACAGAGAAATATAAGGAGGAAAGCAAGCAACATGCTCTGACAATTGTCGCTTTAGAGGAGAGGTTGCTGGAGGCCAAACAGCAGCAGAAGACACTGGAGGAGGAAAAGGCAGCACTTGTGGGAAAAATGGAAGGTAGCAAAGGGTTGTATGACATGAGTCTGTACTGGGAACCCTCTTGGTTAATGTGAAATTTATGTAGAGATGGAGTAGTGTGCTTGCTGCTGTGGAAAGCATTGTGCTAGATGTTGGTTTGAGGTTTGCCTGAATGCAGGACAAGCCCGAGAGTCCCCAAAGAAGCCATTGCAGGATATTGCTTGGTGGCTTTGGGGACCATGGTCATAGGCAGGGCTTTCCCACTGGAGAATGGCTCTTTGCCCTCTAAAATGATGAGACTGGAGCCCTTTGGGCTGCACCCAGGGATAAGTGATCCTGGACATGGAAGGATGTATGGAACTGTCGGAACAGTGGTGGAGCTAAGAGACACAGGCTTCCGAAAGAGGTGGTCCTCAGTCTTCCATGCTGTCATGAAGGAAAGGATATACATAGTGGAGGCAAGAATGGAATGTGTATGCATTACAAAGAGGGCATTGGCCTTGGTTATTGTGTCCTGTAGGATTTGGGGATGATGCCCACATATTGACGTTAGGAGCCTTGCTGGAGGTGTCTCCTGCCACAGTGCCACACTGCTGTCTGAGGTAAGGAGCACTTGCTGGTGGTGGTCTTGGTCAGAGGGGCTTGGAGAAGAGCAGGTATTGCTAGGAGAGGTTAAGGAAGGGCCAGGGCCTGGCTGCAGCTTTTCACAAGATCTTTTTGGTCTGTGGTGGTGGAGAGAGCCCATTTGGTGGGCTCAGATGGACTTAAGTGCTTAGAGGGTCAAAGTGATGGTGGGCAGAGTGTGAGGGATCTGCTGTGCCATCCAGAGGGCTCCAGGTGAGAGGGAGCGAGCTGGCCAGTCCCGGTGCTGCAGCCATGAACCTACGGCACTGAAAGGCAGTGAATCAAGTGATGTGTATGTATAAATCATGAGATGCAGCTCAGGAAGGCGTGCGCAGGCTCCATGAAATGAGTCTGACAAATGAATTGTGAGATTTCCCATGATCTTCCTCAGGAAATTGAGGGAGGAGCTGGCAGCGGCGCGGAGCGTGCTCCTGTCCAAGGAGACCATCATTGCCGGACTAACCAAAGAGCTGGGGGAAACCAGAGCCAGGATTTTGGACTTGAGAGGTGGGTGAAGCATATGGCCTGGTTTCCATCTTCCCATCCCGCTTCCCAGCAGCAACAAGGGCAGTGGGTACTAGTGGAATTGCACAGATATGGGAAATGGATGTCACCATCCTGAAGTAAATGCTGTTGCTCTGCGTGGGGAAAAGCAGCCAGTCTGTTCCCTTTGGGAAGGGGAATTCCTCCTTGCTCTTGGGGACATGATGGTGAGCGAGGGTTGCCAGATGGAGTTCAGGAGGACAAAATGGAGGCCATCTTACTCAAAGTCCTACTGATGGGCTCCTTGAGGCCGAGGGTTTCCTAAGGCAGGAGACTGGGAGAGCCTGGCCCAGGATTCCTCACTGGTGGGGCTTTGGGGAGGCTGTTGGGGAGAACCCAACAGAGTGGGCAGAAAGGAGACCGAGCCTGGAAACGAAGGGATGCGCATGGCTTGCTCTTGATGCAACGTGAATATGGGGACAGAGCCTACAAGAGAGGGTAGAAGGTAAAAGTCTGCAACTCAGGAAATCCTGCTGACCCTCTTCAAATACAAAATGAAGGAAAATTGCCATAACAATAGCTGTCAAGGGCAGGGCAGGGGTCTGTGGGGACATGGTCCATTATTGCTGACATCCCCCGCGAGGGTGTACTGGGGAAAGGGGGCAGATCCATTTCAGTGGAGACCCCCCAGGTCTGGGTGATGAGACAGGCAGAAACCCAGGAAGCTTTTGTGTGCCCAGGGGAGTTGAGCGAGGAGCAGAAGGTGGAACTGGAGCAGAATGTGAGCCGGGTGAAACAGCAAGAGTGGGAACTGAACCTGCTCCGGGAGAAGCTCTCCCAGATGTCCAGCCTGGTGGAAAAGAAGGATCGAGCCCTGGAAGCAGCAGCCGAAGAGTTAAGGTACACGCCGTCATCACCTGATGCTTTGCAGAAGCTGCTCTTTACCTTCCCAGCAGCTGAGGGCTTCAAACTAGAGGAGGGTAGATGTAGATTAGATATCGGGGAGAGATTTTTCACTCTGAGGGTGGTGAGAGCCTGGCCCAGGTTTCCCAGAGGAGCTGTGGCTGCCCTGTCCCTGGAGGGGTTCAAGGCCAGGTTGGAGGGGGCTTGGAGCAAGCTGGTCTGGTGGGAGGTGTCCCTGCCCGGGGCAGGGGGGTTGGAACGAGATGATCTTTAGAGTTCCTTCCAACCTAAACCATTCCATGAATCTTTGAAGGCCTTGAGTTGTCTCCCCAAGGGCAAAAGCTATCTGTGAGAGCAGCAGAACTGGGCGCAGCAACGTTCTCTTGATGGAAGTGCCACAGGAACTGCAGCGGGGGTTTAGTGGGGCTCATGCCAGTGGACGTGTAACCAAGTCACTTGTGACTAAGTGGATGTTCCCACCCACACCGTGGTAGTCATCGGTGGGAGTCCAGGATGCTACTCTCTACAAGCTGTTTGGGTGACCTTCATCCATCACAGTGTCCCACAATAGTGTTTTTTTTTATGGCACAGACAAGCACGAGCCCACTGCCAAGCTCTGGAGAATGCCTCCCGAGAAACGACGAAGGACACTGCTCCTGAGAAGGATGCTCCTGGGACGGTGATGCCGGTGGGTGAAGTCTCCGAGAGGGTAAGTCTGCAAGGAGGCTGCCGAGACCTGGGTTAGTGAAGAGTATTGATCACACACGTGGTCTTTGTCAGCAGCATGGTGGGACCTGGCTATGCCCAGCTGAGCTCCAAGCTGGCTGAGGGCAGGAGCTGGCTAGCAAGCTGATGTTTGTACAGCGCTTTGGAAGTGTGAAGTGGTGTGTCTACTAATGGCTGCGATAATTGCCAATTAGAGGGGATAGCGAATTAGGGAAAGAACTGCAAGCATTTCCTCCTTCTCGCAACCTTGCTGGCTCTATTGATGAAACAAAAGCTGTAAAGGGGTTGAATGTGCAGAAACAGTTGTAGCTGGTGGCACAGGACAGGAATAAATGTTCCTTTCTCTCCTGTGCTGAGTTTTCTTTTGATTTCCCTGGTGCCGGAAAAGGGAAGAAATCAAAGGTGGCTGCGGCAGCAGATGGAGGGACTGTAGGAACTGTACACCCTGTACCGCAGCAGTGGCAGACAGTGTGCCAGCGAGAGAGGCTGGATGTGTGTGGGCCAAGCGGTGACTCACAGACAGATGACGAGCAGGAGGTATCGCCGGGGATATCTGGGAGGAAGCGCAGACCAGCTGAAGACACGGTTGGGGACCAAGCCCCCCCTCGCTGAGCTGTGCTGTGGGGCAACGGTGGCCAGACCTGAGTGGGTACTTGCCAACAGTAACTGTGTGCAGGGTGTGATGAGGGGCCTCCTCCGTCCCAGATTTGAGGATGGTTTTCATAATGCAGCAAGCTGGATGGGGCTGGAAGAGGGAAACGCGCGTGTGTGTGTGCAGGGGTGTAGTTTGAAAGAGAATAATGCATGAGATCGTGTATAAACACAGGCCGCAAAGTGTATCAGTATTTTTGCATAGAAAATGTCCCCAAGGAGCATCAGGGGAAGTTTAGGATGGATATTAGGAAAAAGTTCTTTACCCAAAGGGTTGTCAAGCATTGGAACAGGCTGCCCTGGGAAGTGGTGGAATCACCATCCCTGGAGATATGTAAAAGACAGGTAGACATGGTTTAGTGGTGGAGTTGGCAGTGTTAGAGTGATGGTTGGACTTAATGATTCTAAAGGTTCCTTCTAATCCAAACGAATCTATGAATCTATGAAAGCAGTAAACGCTCTGTGGTAGCACAAAGTGCAAGAGAAAAATACTGCTTGCACTGGCCTTTCAGAGCCACGCACTGTCACTCTCCAAGCTCTCTGGAGCATTGGCAGGGCTGATGTCTTCACCGGAGCATGGTTGGCACAGCAGAGCCTATAAGGGGTCTTTGATGCTGGTCTCCTACCCCCCCAATTCTTGGTGAGGGTGTAGGGTGAGGCTTTCCTCTTGGCACATGCCAAGTGGCCAGCATCTTCCAGCAAGGCTGTGGTTAAACCAGGTTCGAGCTGAGCTTGCGGTGAGCCAGATGCAGAATGGGCAAGAATTGGTCGATCCTCTTCTTCCAGGAGCCAACATTGGACTTGGTCAACCTCGGTGCGAAATGTCGACGTCTCAGGCACGAGGAGACGATCCGGCGCCAAAAAGAAGGCTTGGCCGAGCTCCGGGAGAGAGTAAAGATGCTGGAGAAGAGGCAGTCCTCAGGTGAGCATGGTTGCCACCAGAAAGGGAAGATGGGTCCAATTGACTTTGGCAGAGCCTGGTACTGTGTGCAGTCACTCCCACACTCTCCTCAAGGCAAGAGAGAGCAGCTGGCACCTAAAGAGGCTGAGCTTTGGGTGCTGTGGTCTTGCAAAGCCTTGCAAGTACCATGAGAATCCTATGCTTGCCCTATCTCAATGTCTTTTGATTCCATTTCATGGTGTATATCCCTGTGTGGAGGGTGGTTTGGAGAAACAGTGCCATCTCTGTGAGAGGCTAGAAGTAGAGTAGGAGTTTGTGGTACAAACTCTGAGTTGCCATCAGAAAAACAGATTTACATCCTACTTGTGTAAAGAAAGCGATGCCCAAACACTCGGATAGCAAGGCCTGCAGGTTTTACTCCATAGCCAATTTATCTCTCCATGTATGGTCTCTGGGGAAAAAGAAATGTGGTGAGCCTCACAGTGTTTGTGGGATGAAGCCACAGTATGTCATACAGAGAGTGGGACCACTCAGTGGGTATTTGTTTGCCTCCAGCTGTCACGAAGAAGGGTTTGGAGCCACTGGTGGTCCTGATGAAAGATTTACCAGAGGGAATTTTCCAGAAAGCAGGTCTCGAGAAGGAAACTGCATCCATTTTGGGCACAGAACTGAAGGCCAGCAAGGTGAGAAGGCAGTTTGTGGTTCATGGTGCTTGTGACTTTGTTGGAAAAGTATCCAGTGGAAGGGGGAGAATTGGGCTTTCAGATAAACGAGAGAAGAGGCCATGGGGGAGAGGGGGAGATGTGGAATCAGGCAGTATGTCAGGTGCAGCCCAGGGGAAGACACTGCTTGAAGGGAGGGTCATGGCTCCTGCTGGGAGCAGCAGTTTGCCTCGTATCATGGATGCTGGGATGCTGCAGGCTGTCCCAGCTGGGAGGGTTTGTACCACGGTGCTGCCAGGGGGGTTTTCCTGTGCAGCAGGAGGGAGGCTCAAGGCACCTCAACTCAGAGCCAGGCGATCTGTGGGCTCTGTTGGTCTGTCCCTGTCTGTGCAGGCTCCTGGCCGTGTTCCTAATGGAGGCTTGTACAGGGCAGCTGGTTGGGCAGCGAGCTCAGAGATGGATGATGTGACAAACCTCGGCGAGAAGATGGTACGTGAGTAATAGACTGGTGAAATGCTGCCCGACACTTGTAGAGAGGTGATGGTTTTCAGACACATTGCAGGACTGATTGGCATCATAGAATCATAGAATGGTTAGAGTTGGAAGGGACCTTAAAGATCATCAAGTTCCAACCCCCCTGCCCTGGGCAGGGACACCTCCCACCAGACCAGCTTGCTCCAAGCCCCATCAAACTTGGCCTTGAACCCCTCCAGGGTTGGGGCATCCACAGCTTCCCTGGGCAACCTGTTCCAGTGCCTCATCACCCTCACAGGAAAGAATTTTTTTCTGGTATCTAATCTAAGTCTCCCCTCTTCCAATTTAAAACCATTACCCCTCGTCCTGTCACCGCACTTCCTGACAAAGAGTCCCTCCCCAGCTCTCCTGTAGCTCCCTTCAGATATTGGAAGGCTGCTATGAGGTCTCCCCGGAGCCTTCTCTTCTCCAGGCTGAACAACCCCAGCTCTCTCAGCCTGTCTTCATAGGAGAGGTGCTCCAGCTCTGATCATCATCATCAGGGCTCTGCAGGAATGAGGTCAAGGATGAGCTGCCTCTTGCAGGTCCCAGGGCGTGCCAGGCATCTGCTGGGACGTCCTGGCACCCCAGGGCATGCAGTGGTGTATCCTTCCCCCCTTCCCACCTATGGTCCTTGGGGATGGTCCCAGGGGCAGTCAGGGGCTGAATCTCTAGAGTGATAGGATTGGAGGGGACAGAGACCCTCGCCAAGTCATACACCTGATAAATGATGTGAGAGAGGCTGTGGAGTGATGGAGGTTGCTACCAGAGGAGGTGTCCTTCGGTGGCGCAGAGGGTGGGTTGTGAGAGTGTGTTTCCTCCCTCTGAAAAGGGCAGAAAAATGTCCATCAGGGAAAATGAGTCATCCTGAAGAAGGAGAAATCCAATCCAAATGAGTCTGGTGGCTGGTAATGGAATGCAAAGTGTGGAACAGGGTGGGATGTACTCCGGAGCAGGGATGATTCCCAGCTGGTTGCGTTTGTAGGAGCGCTAGGTGAAGCTCGCCCAGGGAAAGCACACGTGGAAGTGAAACAAAGGGGAGGGCGCACAGCGGTTTCCTTGTGATATTTTCATCTCCCCAGTAGAGCAGAATGAAAGCAGATGGTGGAGCGGTATGATGTTATGTGGTGGAGGAACTGGCAGGCCTAGTAAATAATGCATTCCCTGCTCTTCTGACAGTACCTTGATGTAATTGGTGCTCTGGGAAGCCTGATGAAGGTGAAGGAGCTGTCAGGAATGCAGCCTCTGAAGTGCCTCCCTCCAGAGGAGAGGGAAAAAGCGGGGCTGCAGCGATGGAAGGACCTGGAGCTGCTGTACAATAAGATCAGGAACCTCAAGAGTCATCTGGAGAGAAAAGAAGAGGCGCTGAAAGATTACGATGCCAACGTGGAGCAGCTCAGGTACCTAAAGGCAAGGTGGCTGTGAGTGGCCACCAGTCCGAGTGAGACCGAGTCCTGGGACACAAAGTGACGGACAGCTCGGGACAAGGAGTGGAGCAGCCCCTTGCCAAGTTGTCTGTCTGTTGGGAACCAGTCGAGTTGTGGTCACGGTCTAAGAATTAAATGTGAGGAGAAACAGAGACTCTCACAGGGCCCTACGCAGGTGAGCAGTGATGGAGGCAGAGGAACCTTGGCAGAGTCCCTTGTCTGGGGTGGCCAGACCCTGGGACAGTGGTGGCATCCATCGGGGTGGAGGGACAGTGTCAAGAGGAGCAAGATGATGGGGAGGGCTGGCCAGACCAAAGGGGATGCTGCCACTCCAGGAGCTGCCATGCAAGGCGATGTGTGAGGGAGCAGGGAGGAACCCAGGGTGGCGCAAGCCCCACTGCTGCACACATGCAGGGGTCTTTTTGACCACAGCACTGGAAAAAGTGGTGTAGAAGGATATGTATGGGTCAGTGTCAATATGCCACTGTATTTGAAGTTGGAAGGAGGTTTGATAGCAATCTGCAAGCCAGCAGTGGTGAAACAGCCACCCAGAGTCCCTCTCCAGGATTGCACGCTATAAGGGATTGCAGCCAGCACCCTGTGTAGGGCAGGGGGAAACCTCCAAGAGGTGGGAACTGGGTCTCATCGAAGGCAGAGGGGAGAGGGGTTTGGCCATGGTGTAAGGAATCAGAACAGGGAAAACACTCTAAAACATGTGCAGGTCCTTGCAAGGCGGGAGCCGCTCTGATGTCCTTCTGTGTCACCCTGTGGGGTGATGGCTGCTAAGAGGGACACAAGTGAAATATGGTGTTGCTTGGAAGCATTCTCTTCCTCCAGAGTCCAGCTGTGGGGGGTGTTGATGCAGTGACAGTCCCCCCCCTTCCTGTTTTGCACAGGCTGAACCAAGCGTCCCTGCAAAGGTGCCAGAAGGAGATGGCCAAACTGGAAGAAGAAGCCTACAGGCAGGCAGAGGAGAAGGCTCTGCTGAAGGAGGCTTTGGAGAGGACACAGCTTCAGCTGAGCCAGGAGAAGCAGCTGCTGCGAGCGGCCAGACTGCACAAGGTGAGGACGCAGGAGCAGGTGACCAGGGCCCGTGAGGACACCTGGAGCCCCAGGAGCCAAACATCCCCATGCCTGGGTGTTCAAAGGCGGGTCCTGGTGGTCTGCAGGCACCTCTGAGGTCAGTGAGGTGCCAGGGGACACATCTGCCCTGATGATGAGGCACAGGGGATGGACAGCACGGCCTGGATGCTCAGATGTTGGGGAGGTACCTGTGGCAAGTCCTGCACATAGAAGGAAGGTGACTCCTGGTGTGACCCAGAGCCTTGCAGAGGAGTCTACTGGTGGTGGCCATTCTCCAGAAGGCAGAGCTGGGAAGGCATGAAGCCCTCCAGTCACTTGGTTGCACACAAGGGTGAGGGGGGACAAGCAAGCGAGGTGTCCACTGCTGCAGGAAACATCTCCCCTTGCCGGTGCAGACACAGGGGTTTGCTGTCTTTGAGGTGGTCGCTCAGGTGGGGTTTGGTAAATGAGGAGCCGGAGTTGTGGTGAGGGACCTCTGGGGCTGAAAGTAACAAGAGCGTTGTTGGCTCTGGGGATGCATCTGTTGCGTGGGGCACCTCCGTGGTGTGCCCACCATGGCCAGAAAGGCGATGCAGCTTGGCTTGGAGGCTCAGCAGAAGCTGTGAGCACTATGTAAGGCACTGACCTAGCTGTTGTGATGGGTTAGGAACTTGTGGTGGGTCTGGCACAGTTGTCTGGCTGTGGAGTACCGTGGGTGGCCATGCTCTTCTACAGCAGTGGCAGGGCAGATCCTGGGTGAGGAGATGGGAGCTCCATGTGATAACCAACTCCCGCATGAGCCAGCTCTATCCATCAGGGTCCCTGGATGCTGCGGTCTGTCTGTCCATCCCAAGAGGCTGGGTGTCCCTGAGCACCGCTGCTGGGCTGGACTCGGCTGCATGGCATCATCACCGCTGCTGGAAGTGGAGGGTGATGGGTTTGGGCCGGGTTGGGCGAGGGAGAAGGGAAGGTCAGGCATGTCCTGCAGGCAGTCTGAAGGCCACACTGAGCTCTCACAGGCGAATGTGGTGTTTGATATCTCTCTGTTCTGCAGCCTGGCGCCAAGAAGCCCTTCTGCTTGGGGAAGCTGAAGGCCAAAGAGCACACAGCAGAAGCCCTCAAGATGGGAAGCACATAGGGGTGATACCACGCAAGCCTTGGGTCAGTGAAGCTCTGTGATCGGAAAGGGTTGTCAGAGTGTGGATTCTGCAATGTTGGACATGGTACGAGGTGTGGGTGCGTGTAGAGGAGCCCCTGTTGATGTCCTGTAGCTCCTTGGCATGCTGGTGTGACTGCACGGTGTGGAGGACATTATTTTCCCATAGTACCTGTCCCATACTGCATGGTGGGGTTTATGGGAACAGAAAAAGTGGTGTGGGTACAGCGTAGTGTATACACGTATGTTGATGTACATGAATACAGCCCAGTGTAGGTGTGGAGTCAATTGTGTGGGGTCTGTCCTGTCCCTGCTGAAGTGGCCTCAAGCTCATGAAGCGCGGTCTGGGGTAAAAATGTCCCTTGCACTTGGGACTCGGGTTGTCCTCGAATCCCCATGGTGTCACCAGGGATGATGCGGTATGGAGACGTGGCACCCCAGGAATGCTGGAGCATGACCGGAGCCACGGCACGATGCCACGTAGTAACGGGAAGAGGAGAAGCCATGTCAGCCATGCAGGTTTGTTACAACATCAGCGTGAGAATGAGCCCGGGGGGACCAGAGCCCTTGTTGGAGGGATGGGGCAGTGCCACGGGCTCGCTGTTGCCCTCCCATGCAGTCTTGGTGCCACTGTGTCTGTTCACAAGGGTGAGAGCAGACCCAGGATTCTGGGGAGCAGCAGCATTTTGGGGAGGGGGGGTCTCTGTGGGCAAGAGGCAGTGACAGCGCACGTTGTCGCTGCAGCCTCTCTGCCTGTGCCTCACTCGGTGGAGTCTGTACTGAACTCTTTCAAGTGAGGGTAATGTGGATGTGAGCAAAACTTCCAGGGCTGTTTGGTTTTTGGTTGTTTTTAATAGGAAAAAAAGGTCTAAAAGCAGCTCAGGGGGGGCTGTGCGGTGCTGATGCAGGACCTGCGTCGTGCTGTCAGGCAGAGCCTCCCCGGGGCAGCGGGGCACCCAGGGGCACACGGTGGCTGATGCCCAGTATTTAGTAGGGATTTTGCAGCGGTTACTGTGCCCCCAAAGCCAGCAGAGCTCTGGTTATGGATGTGGCCTATTCTTCCCCCCAAGATGTGCAGTGGGCTACCATCTGCGTGCTGGCCTGGGCTCCTTTTTGGGGCCAGACACGATCCACACACAGCGTGCTGTGACCCTGTGCATCCATGCTGTGGGGAGGTGGGTGGGAAAAGGCGGTGGGGAGGTCGGTGGGGATCGGTGATGGGCAGCGGGAGGGCGGCGGCAGCCGCAGCATCCTCCTTGGCAGCCAGTCGGAGCGGGGGACCGGCGGCTCGGCTCTCCCCGGGTCCGGGGGGCTCAGCCCGGCCCCCGGGGCCGCCCCCAGCGGCGGGGCGGAGCGGGAGCGGGGCGGAGCGGCCATCCGGGCACCATGGCGGCGGCGGCGGAGGAGCTAGCGGGGCGGCGGGGACGAGGACCGGAGCCGGGGCCGGGGCCGGGGAGCCCGGCGGGGCGGATGGGGGGCGAG